AAATGTCTGGCGCACGCTCACAAAAACCAGACTTCTTTCAATTTTTGTATTTTATGGGCAAATAAAGAAATGTGTGTTATAAGCGTGTGCTTACGTGACTAGTCGTAAAATACATTATCGTTCTATTTTGTCGTTCTGGCGCAGTGATTACGATCGTTTGACAGCTGGCTAGGCTTTTAATTCTTTTAAACGTATTTACTTTTTCCCTACGAGTTTATTTATTACATGTTGTTTATTTAAAGTATGATTTATGGTATGACCGGTTTTGTGGGGTAGTAGGACGTTAAACCCCATTTCATTTCGTTTTGTGGGGTATGTCTAAGATAAACTTATTATATATACAAATATGGTTCTTTTATTTACGCATTGAAAATTTATATCATTAAATAAAAGTACAATAGGGTTTATCGTCTCCATGACACAATACTTACGACACTTTGAGATTAACATTTAGTACAGTTCTGCATTTACATCGAAAAATGTGTTCGGATTTTAATTTATCACACAATAACACATTCTCCAGTAGATATCGCTTGTGTGATAACTTTCATAATCCACTGAGCGATATTTCCTTCGGAGATATCGCTAACATGAAGTTAATTGATCAGTTAAAAAGGAACTACTTTTTGGATCCAGTAATATTAAAGGGGGAAAGTTTTCAATTAACATAAACATGTTCGCTTCTTAGTGGTTTTGACCTTAAAGTAGCAAAGTCTTTAACTCAATATCATCCACATACTTCGACACTGAAAAGACGAATTATTTGTCAATTTAAATCAATATTGATGTTGTGATCTTATCGGGAAAAGGTGGGCTTCTGATATCCAATATTTAAAGACAAAATAAACAATTTACCACTGACTCTTATTTCAAAACAAAACGACTCAATACGATTGTAATACCTTCCCAATATTCCAATACAACGATGGACAAAGTAGATTCTTTTATTTAAAGATACATTATGGGAGATAAGATAAAGAGCTGGCAGTTCGCATTATAATAGTTAAAGATAGGTTGCCAGGCAAAGAAACATACGCCCACAGCAGCTAAGTCGTCCGAGCAGTCAACAAGAGTTGTCGCACATTTTTCTATTGTCGGTAATTAAACATTTATTATACACTAAAATCTGATTAACAGTAACAACAACTCATTAAGTAATTATCCGAAAATCAGTAGAAATCAGTGGCTTTTAGTTCTACCCCATGGTAACGTTTAGTATACGAAACATTTAATATCAAGGATTTAGCTGTTCAAGTTATCAAAATTCATTGAAAATCAATATACTTGTTCGTCTCAAGACCTTAAACTCTGTTTATCAATCTGAAGTCAATCGGATGATAACTTTGGTCTCTCGAACATCCGCAAGATTTTTCAAAGTGATCAAGGTCCATAACTCTGGTCGAAATTATCGGAAATCATTGAAAATCACCGGGCTTCTTCGTCTCATGACCTTAAACACTGTGTATCAATTTAAAGTCAATCGGATATTAACCTTAACCTCTAGAGCGCCCACAAGATTTTTCAAAGTGATCAAGGGCCATAACTCTGGTAGTTATTATTGGAAATCGCTAAAAATCAATACGCTTCTTCGTCTCATAACTTTAAACAATGTGTATAAATTTAAAGTCAATCGGATATTAACTTTAGCCTCTAGAGCGTCCACAAGATTTTTCAAAGTGATCAAGGGCCATAACTCTGGCAGTAATTATCGGAAATTGGTGAAAATCAATAGAATTCTTCGTCTCAGTCCGGACGGACTGACGGTAGCTACGACAATATACGACCGCATTTCAATATGGACGTATAGAAACTAGATAATGTAAAGTCAATTTGCTGAAAATTTCAATCAGATAGATCCACTCTGAACCGAGAATGTAGCGATTGAAATTTCGGCCTAGCCTCGGTCATCATTACTAAAGTCGGTACAATAAAAAGCATAGTATCGATTATCCATTTCATGATTAAATCACGAATAAAAGGTGGGCAGCAAATCGGATCCTTAACCAGTAAATATCGCAGGCTAGCGATGACATCGAGAGTTGATTATGGTCCGGATAAGTTAATTAATGTCTAATCAATAAAGAAAGGCCCGCAATAAGCAGATTTAGCTCTTGCATAATGTATGTTTAACTATTAAAGTCTATATTCAATATCTAATGATAGTCTTTTAAATTGTGTTTGCTTGTGTAAATCAGCGATAATTATTGTATAAAATACAATACTTACCAAGATCAAATGTTTCAAAAATAGATCTACTTTAAATCTTACTGATAGCTACTATTTGTATTGTGTGGACATATATAAACCAAATGTCTAGCTTGAAATATATCTGCCCGCATGGTTATATTAAAGGAGCTAAATCGCTAATATTTGGGACCTAGAAATTGACACAAATGGGTCGCAACGCATATAATAATGTAATATGCATGTATATAAACTGATTTGAAATTAGAGTATAAACGGAAACGATTGAATGTAAACCAGTTTATATACATCCATATTACATTATTATATGCGTTGCGGCCCATTTGTGTCTATTTCTAGGTCCAAAATATTAGCGATTTAGCTCCTTTAATATTTTATTACTACATCAAATAAAGTACAATCATCTAGAAATCGTACGAAATTCTAACAAGCCAACAGTGAGGCTGATATCCCCCGCCGAAATCCAAAAATAAATAGATGACACATATTACTTAAATCGTACATTTACTTTTTTCAAAAGTATCAAGCAACCAAACTGATTATCAACAATACACTAAGTTTCATCACTCTCTATCAGATAAAATCAAAGTTAGCTTTAGCTTGAAAGATAATTGAACTCAGTCAAGACATTCACCTAATGAACATCTAAATCAAGTTTAAACATTCTACCTCAATCAAAAGCAGAGTTGTTATGTTCCAAAGTCTTGACCAATCAAATTGCTTATCGCTCCTTAGCCTAAGCAGAAAATTCTCATCATCGTACTTAGTCATGATAAATCTATACTCGGAGTTTCATAACTCTTAACTTATTTATAACCAAAGTTATCATTCCCCAAAGCATCAATCAATCAGATTGCTTATATATGCTTACCGTAAGCAGACAATGTTTATCATCGAACTCCAAGGCCTTCACCTAATGAACGCATACACCAAGTTTGAACATTCTACCTCAATTAGAAGGAGAGTTATTGTATTCCAAAGTCTAGACCGGTTAAATTGCTTAATGCTCTGCTTACCCTGAGCAGAAAATGCTCATTATCGAACTTAGTCAAGATATTGATGTGATAAAACCATACACCAAGTTTCCTCACTCTCACTTAATTTGAACTAAAGTTATCGCGTCCCAATCAAATTGTTTATTTCTGTTTACCCTGCCCCAAAGCATCAACCAATCTTACCCTAAGCAGAAAATGCTCATCTTCGAACTCCATCAAGGCACTGACCTAATAAACACCTACACCAAGTTTGAACATCCTAGTTCAATTAGAAGGGGAGTTATTGTGTCCCAAAACGTAAGACGGACAGACGGACGGACAGGCAGACGGATGAACCTAGTTTAATATTCCCCTGCTTTCTTCGAAAGGCAAATTGTAAATTATGCTATCCATATTTAGCGTGCTTAATTTATTCGGGAGCATGCTTCTTGCTCACTAACCAGGAGGTGTTGGCTGAGAATGCTCCATTGGAGAAAATCGAGATCATATGTACAAATTTGTAGAGCACGTGAAAGATCAAACGGCAGTTGGAATTCGAAATAGGAGCGGGACGTAGCTCCGCTATCCGGGCAAAATTTCTTCATAGAACACTGCATGGCGTCTGTTTTCATAAAGGCCAGTTGGTGTATCAGGCAAGTTGTTTCCATTTAAGCAATTCGGTTAAAAGCCCATCAGACGTGATCAACAATTTCGTAATTAGTTTAGGCGACCAATTTAATACTTTAACGCTAAATTTAAATTTAAAAATGGGCAGTCTAAAATAACACAAATGTTATTCCATCTCATCTAGCTCAAGACCAATCTTTTTATTTTTGATTTACACTACAAATAATCACCATTTCATGCTTTGTAATGTGTTCATATTTAGGACATCTAAAATTAAACTCTATGTAGCAAAGTCCACGTTCGCCACGGTAATGTTGTTCGATTGGTTTAGTTGTGCTTTAAAACTTTATTTAGACCTGTTTTAAAACTAGGACATTAAAAATGTTTCTTATTTAACATATACACAAGATAAAGCTGTATTTTGGATTAGCACCACAAGTGATCTATCTTTAACTGGGTGATTTCCGTTCAAAAAATGTTTTTAAAGCAGGAATTTAATATCAGTCCATCTATGCTAGGGTAAACAGTTTTCTAATTGTTCTTTACAAAATAAAAAAAAATAAAAAATTTATATAAGTTTTAACATGTTTTAAAGTCAAACACCTACAATTAGTTTATGATTGTTTTTATTTAGGTTTAAACTACATCAGTAATGTATGAAATGCCCCCCATTCTTGGCGTTCCATTGCCGCGGATGTGATTTATGTCTTCATCACGAAGAAAATGATTAATTATCGCCCATTACTGTTCCCGACAGCAAGATGTTTACTGTTCAAAATGAATTGTATATATCACAATTATTAAAAATATCATACGAATTGTTCGTTTTGCATGAATGGTTAGTAGCCTACATGTAAATGCTAGATTTTCCATCTGAATCGAAAAACATAAGATAAGTCTATCAAAATTGCACTCTAATTAAGATTATTCCCAAGAAACATCGTGAGCTTAATTTAATCAGCCTTCCCTCTTTCGTCTTAATATGTATGATTATGGGCAATCTAATCTGCCTGCCGTACCGTGTCATGGCGATATAGTGAGCAATTACACTAACTAAAATTTAGCTCTTTCATTATTGGACCTTAACAAATAAACCTCTGTGACATCCGTTAAATAATAACATTATAATCGACATACATGTATATATCTATTCAATTGATACCAAAATAGAGAATACATTAGTGAAACTCTTACCTAAAACCTTCTATATTCAGTAACCGTTAGTGTTTTGAATGTTTTACAAGATACGCGAACCTACTTGTGTTTACAAATGAACGCTTTAGTGACGTAGTGGTTCTGCGTGTCGTGTGCAAATGTTATGTCTGTTGGACTGTTATAGCTAGTTATATTCAGCCGGTCGTGTCCTTGTGACGGGTGCATTACCAAATAATGTTGATCTCTTGCACAACGATTATCGTACACGCACTGTGCATGACTAATCAGAATATTATATAAAAAGTACCGTTGCTAACGAAGACTATTGTGTAAATATTTTGATAAAACATATAGAAAGGAAGGAAATTTCCGATATGACCTGGAATAGCCCATAAATATTTATATGACCTGACACTATATAGCGGACACAAAAATGAAAACCAAACAAGTGTAACCACCATAAGCAATTATAATTACGATTACTATCTCATTTTTAACATCTGCTAACGAAAAAGAGAATTTACATTATTATACATTATTTTTATTGGGCAACAAACCAGGTCGTTTACATAGGCAAGTAAGAACAAATGTCTACAATTTTAATGTAATGATCGCAATCGACATTCCTTAAAAAAAAATCTCGGTATTTTACGTTTAAGGGCTGGGCAATCGTGACGTGTTTAAATTTGTAAACACTCCACGAGCGTGATGTAGTTGGATAGAATTTCGGGTATCTTCTTTACTTATTTTGGTTGTTTGAAACAAGTTAATTATTGATCATCTATTGAATGAAAACGGATCAATATATATTGATAAGTCACAGTTTTGTCTACTGTCTATTATATTTCCATTTCTTTCTTTTATCTAGTCTGGTAATCGTGTCGATTTACGTATGGTGATAGAGATATTCGAGTATACTGTTGTTAAATATAAACACATTCAGAGGCTTGTTTGTACGAAATATATAGCAGGAGTATTATCACTTTATTCATCTAATAATAGATATGACAATATAAAATCAACAGTCATAACTTAAGTTAGAATTGAAGTTAAATAATGTTTGAACCCAAATGATTTTTAATAATTGTGCTTTTGATTGTCTACGTGTAATTAAGAGAGAGAGAGAGAGAGATGTGGTTTAATGTCCACTCGACACAGACTAGGTCATTTCAGGGCTAACATATGGTTTAATTTTATTTCAATAATTCGCCTGCGCGTAGGGGTCTTGAGCAGAGGACCCGGAGAAAACCCACGAGGTTGGACAGGCTAAGTTGAGAGAAGAAAGATGATATAACCCCAGCCCTAATATCACTTCATTTTCAAAAGAATTATCTCATATTGATGAGGGGGGTCGAGGCAGTCGAGCGGTAAGGGAACTCAACTCTCAACAAGAATGTCATGGTTCAATTCCCGTAGTGGACCGAGGAGACAGTATCTTAGGGTTTCCAATTGTCAGTGTTGCCCAGTCCTTGGAATGAAACGAAAAACAGAGATCCACCCGTGTTCAGTCTGGAGTGCACTTAAAATAACTTTTGAGAGTTGGAATTCGACGAAGAGTGAACGTAAACGTCACTAACGGCACACCTTACTACATAACAATAACTGTGTGATAGCCTCAAAATGACTGAAATATTCTCTTGATTCCAACTCATCTTGAACGCAATTCCTATCACATTGACTCCCCTTGTTGTTGCTGGATTTTGCAAAGCAGATTTCATTTTATCTGCCGGCATCGTTATGCTTCTATTAAAATAACACAAATTTAATGAATAACACAAATCAGGGTTCCTGCCTGTTTTGTACTGAATCCACATAGATATTTAACACGGTATTCTCAAATACCGACCATATCAGCTAATTAAAATGCCTTCCCAACAGAATATGCAAATCTCCTCGAGTACATACAAATGAATGCACACCAAACACTTTTACTTACCAAAATACACAATCTTCAGTAATTATATGAATCTAACTCCACTCAGCGATCCAATTTATGTCCTGTTAGGTTAAAGCCTAGTACAACATATTTCTGTTTCACGTAGCTAACAAGCTAAATGGCGGCAGTGTATAATCATAAATAAAGGTACGCTCTTTATATCTGTCAGTCCTAGAATGTGTGTTTACGTACCTCAGTTATGTTAACAACGTAACTCCCTGGTGCCGTCCGTCTACACAATTCCTTCAAGTAACGCTCTACTGATCGTTACAGTTCTTGAATAATGCTGCAATACATCGCGGTAATAGCCTTTCTTTGGCACTCTCTTTGAGGTTTAATGAATTTAGGATCAAATAACCAAAGGTTAGGCGTGATTTATATGATTTTATGTGCACACTATATATATCCAGAGATTAAGCATATGGTTTTAGTTTTTAAAACATAAAAGAAATAGGTTTATAATTCATTTAAATAACTTGTTACGTTCATGGATACAAGTACATTTATATTTATAATAAATATCATATGCCATTACTTACTATGAAATATAGATTTTAATTTACCAGCTACGACTAGATAGTTTCATATTACATTTTATGTCATTAAGGAAGGCTTTAGTACTCATTCAGGGATTTCGGATTGTGTGCTGTACTCGGTTTTGTTGAACAGTAAAGTTTAGTTTCGACAGTAAAAAGGCACTAATCAGTTTTAACATTTTGCATTTTGATAATTGCCAAATTAACACAGAATAAAAAGTCAATGTAAACATATTTGCCCCATTTCCCTATTTTTTGAGAAAAATGCAGAGTTTGCCATTTCGGACTTTCCGTTCGCCAATAATTAAAATAGACAAAGAGTTTTAATATTTTAATATTAAAACGGATTATCTAGAGAAATAGATCAGCTTTTTCAAACTTTGAATATGAATTCAAAATTACTAAATTAAAAATGAAATCTTAATCCTTTAATGGTTGTAACTTCAAATTATTCTGATTTTCATATATATTGCAGAATATAGCTTATTTTATTAATAAAATACCATTTTCAACAACATTACGACATATTTTCCATTCACTTTTCTCATTCTTAATCGCGTCCTAATTGATACAGTATTTTACAGTACATTAATATTGGATATTTTAATCTCATTTTATTGACGATTAACATTTATAAGGTTTTTCTTCGCAGTTAATGTTAGTCATAGTCTGTGGAAAAGGGAGATAACTCTGGAATGGAAGGCCACTGAACACTGAATATCGATAATGTTTGTCCTCTCATGACCCCACCCGGTTGTACGTGGCAAGGAGTAGGGTCGCCTGTCCAACCTCGTGGGTTTTCTCCGGGTCCTCCGGTTTCCTCCCACTGCTAAAGACCACTACGCGCAAGCGAATTATTGAAATAAAATTAAAACCATATGTTAGTACCGAAATGACCTAGTTTGTGTCGAGTGGACGTTAAACCCCATTTCTCTATCTCTCTCTCATGACCCCAATGCTTCACACCAAATTTGAAAAAAAATATGTTAAAATTAATAGGCTCTATTGCGTTAACATAAGGTTTTCAGCGAGAGGGTAGGGCTTTAAGATAACCACTTACTTCTAATAGCAAGTCAAGATCCTGGTTTATATTCAGTAATCTTAAAATGGGTTAGTACACAAATTATAAGTAATTGTAATTGTAATTGTTTATTGCCAAATACATAGTGTATAGGTTTTACAAAACAATGGTTCACAATAAAGTAGTGATGGCGGAGGCGTGCAATTATGTAGGATATCTCTATAAGCGAGATTTCAGCGCAAAATGTACAAATTTTCCTAAATTATTTAACAATATACAATTTTCATTATTCAGCAGTTCAAAACATTTAAACATTGATGGTCTTTTCTAATAGTATGTGTCTATATACCTTTCTCTTAAAGTTGTGTGGGATTTACAGACTAGGACAAAATGATATTCATCTTCTATTTCTAAATCATTATAGTATGTACAAAGTCTATCATTTCTCTCTATATTGTAATATCTCCCTGGCTCACTTTTTAGGCAATGTGAGCTTACTCTAAGTTTACAAATTTCATTTTTATAATATATAGGATGTTTTAAAAAAACCCCTGTAATTTAAAATCTACATTCAAACTTCTATAAAGAAGACATTTTGAAGACGTTTCAAAGTGTTCTGATAAAGATTGAATATAAACATCTTTAATTCTCTGATAAAATTCGCTCAAAAATATCTTATCGTCAAATACAAATTGTGTTTCCCATATGTAACCAAAAGCCATAAGTTTCTAAACAACTCTTAACAAAAATTTACCCAAGGGCTATAACTCTTATTGGACGTATGGAGGCAGACCACCATTAATTTCCCCATTGACTTCATTGTTAATCCGGCCTCTTTGCCCACCTCCAACTCTTCCCCAAATTTTCGTTGTGCTGAATGTTTTTCACTACAGACAGAGGAACAAATGGTCATGTCTTTGCACTAAAATTTGTATGAGGTTGACCACCAAAATTTGAGATACACAAATTTGAAGAAGCATACTAAAAACATGTAACAAGTCGCCGTACATATCGCCGTACCCAACCTGAATATTTACCTAAACCTGGCAGAAAATGTTAATTCAAACCCTCTTCGTCCATTCTAGACCAAAAAATCAACAAAAATGGGCATGCAAAAGGAGAGAGAGAGAGAGAGAGAGAGAGAGAGAGAGAAATGGGGTTTAACGTCCACTCGACACAAACTAGGTCATTTCGGGACTAACATATGGATTTTTTAAAATTTTATTTCAATAATTCGCTTGCGCGTAGCGGTCTTTAGCAGTGGGAGGAAACCGGAGGACCCGGAGAAAACCCACGAGGTTGGACAGGCGACCCTACTCCTTGTCACGTACAACCGGGGATTCGAAACCACGCCAGTCGACTCAATGACAGACTTTATGATACAGCGCGCGCACGCTAATGGTGAAATTTAATTGGGGTCTGCCTCCTATAAGGTTTTATAAGTTCATATATCATCAAAATTCTTTTCTTTATAGCTTCACATTTATTTTTGCAACATTATTATAATACAGAATCAAAAAAAAAATAATTACTGCAGAAATGGTGACCCTTTAAAGTTATGTATAGCGGATTGAAGATTCTTTCTTAATTTTTTCGAAATGTGAGTTCTGCGAAAAGATTTATAGAGTTTCAAACAAGTCTCGTCAAAAATATTCAAAATATTGGAATATTTTTCAAAAATTGACTTTCTTTTACCTTTTTC